TTTATTTATTTATTTAGTTTGTCGATCATGTACTAGATAACAGGTATAAGTATAAACATGGACATGAAGAAGGAATGAGTACAAATAAATGGGGACAGTAGGATAGGGTCGGTAGGCATGCTGGTGCGCTTATGCACGCCCCCTTTATGGACCTCTTAGGAATGGGGTGAGGTCCATGGTAGACAGTTTAAGGTTGAAGCTATGGGGGTTTGAGGATGTAACAACAGAGTTAGGTAGAGCATTCCAGGCTTTGACTACTCTGTTGATGAAGTCGTAGTTTCTGCAATCGAGTTTGGAGCAGTTTACTTTGAGTTTGTTTCTATTGTTTGCCCTTGTATTGTTGAGGTTGAAGCTGAAGCTGAAGTAGTCATTGACAGGTAAGACGTTGAAGCAAACAATTTTGTGTACTATGCTTAGGTCAGACTGTAGACGGCATAGTTCCAGGTTGTCCAAGCCCAAAATTTTGAGTCTTCCTCCTTGGAAATTTTGCTGAACCCCATCATTAGGCCTTCTAGGTTGGGTTAATTATTACTATATTTGTTATATTAATGCTAAACGTAGCTTTGATGGATACAGAACTTGAAAGAAATTTTGAAACATTGATATTATAATGTATTTGTTGACAGTAGCAAGAAACTGATAGGTGCAAAGATGGAAAGCCACACTAATTCCCACAATGGAAAAATGAGGAATAAATATCCAGAGCCTTGATAGCTCTGCAGACAAGGCACTGTAATTTAACACCAGCTGTCTGCAATTAAAGTAAGTTCGAATCTTGCCATGCTCAAGGTTGACTCAGCCTTCCATCCTTTCTAAGGTAGGTAAATTGAGGACCCAGTTTGTGGGGGCAATAAACTGACTTTGTATAAAATATACAAAAGTATGAAGGCTATTGCTTCATACAAAATGGGTCCTCATTTTACTTACCTTAGAAAGGATGGAAGGCTGAGTCAACCTTGAGCCTGGTGAGATTCGAACTTACAGTAATTGCAGACAGCTGGTGTTAATCACAATGCTATCAGTCTGCTGAGCCACCAGGCTCTTTCCTGGCATATTCTCCATTCCACAAAATTCTGACTGGCCCCGCCCCCATCTATTCTCTGCCTCCCAAGTCCCAGTTTATCGGGAGGAAATGAGGATTTTGCAGTAACTTTCCCCTGGATTGGGGAGGGAATGGAGATTTTACAGTATCCTTCCCCTGCCACGCCCACCAAGCCACGCCCACCAAGCCATGCCATGCCCACCAATCCACACCCACAGAACCAGTAGTAAAAAAAATTGAAACCCACCACTGGTCATGGAGGATCGACTACTTTTCTTTCCAAAAGGCAAACTTCGGAAAGCGGGTGCCATTTGGGGAATAATTGCAGTTCTCAGACCGTGACAATTGTGACTGCTTTCAAAATGGCATCTACTTCTGGGGTGGCAGCATGCAGCTTCTGTATAGGAAGGCTGCATGGGCACATTAGCCAGTTCTCCTTGGGAAAGGCAATCTTTTGAAAAGGTTAATAAAGCAAGGCATGATTGGGGGAGCCGGGGAGGAAGCCTAAAGGATGGTAGTAAATGGGACAGGATACTGTGCAAGGGCTGCCTCAGGATCGGAAGGCCCTGGGAGACTTAGGACAGGCCTCATATGAGCTGGGTAGGTGCCACAGTCTGATTGTACCAGGTCTCCCAAGATATCTTCCTCCACCCCGCCCCCCCCCAAGGCGCCCCTTGCCCTGCTTAACAACTAAATTTGGAGAGCTGGGATTGTGGCCCTTAAGCAAGGCAATCATATGGGCATTAACAACCACCACAACTTATGGCAATCATTCCAAGCTCAGTTATGGGCGTACGTCGAGGACTACTTGTATTCTCTTACAGGGATCTAGTAATACCATTTACTTGATTGCAGTCTGGTTCTGGATCTAATATACAACTTGATTGATTCACCAAACAATAACATGGTATTGAGTTTTAGTATTTCCATGGAAGCTAATGGAAGCAGGATTCTTGAACCTGATTATATTATATTCACTGATGTTTATTATTTGGATATGATAGGATACTTAGTTTAAATATATTGTGCTGGTTACATTTAGCTTATTGGACTAGATTCATTTACTGTGAGTTGTGTTGAGGCCTAATTAGATTTTAATTGTGTGTATATTTTATTTTGCAAATGAAATATCATGTGTCTTGTAACACACTTTATTAAAAATTACTTTTTGGTAATAAAGATGCTACTATTATTTTTTGTATTGTGTTCCCTCTCCCCCCCACCCACTAATTTTAAACTTGGTGCATCCAGGATTCTAAATTGCATAGAAATAACCACACTTGTATTTATGCAAGCTTTCTACTCCATCTATAGAGTACAAAACTTGTCATGTCTGTTTTGTAACTTTCAATTGGACAAAATTAGATGGTATAGATCAATAATTACTGAACTGAGGCGGTGGTGGAATTCAAACTTTTTTACTACTGGTTCTGTGGGCATGGCTTGGTGGGCGTGGCTTGGTGGGCGTGACAGGGGAAGGATACTGCAAAATCCCCATTCCCTCCCCACTCCTGGGGCCAACCAGAGGTGATATTTGCCGGTTCGCCAAACTGCTCAAAATTTCCTCTACCGGTTCTCCAGAACCTGTCAGAACCTGCTGAATAGCATCCCTGAACTGAGGTAATTCAAATGGACTAACTTTCAAAATGCCGGGATTTAGTACTCCTATGGGAATGAAATTTGGGGAAGTTGTGGCTGCTTCAGTCCCTGCAATTATGTGATCCTCATTTACAATGTTCCCTGATCCCTTCCTGGTCACTTGTGCAATTATTTCCTCGCCTCCTGGAAGAATGGAAGGGGAAGAGAATTTCCAATGTTCCCTGCCAGCTTTCTACAAGAAACTCAAAAGGAAGGAAATTGGAAGTTGATCCCACTGCTTTTTTGCCTGTCATGGTTACTGTATTTCTCTGGTTTAATTAACAAAATATCTCTGAAACAATGACACATAGGTCACAAGTTGTCTAATATCAATTTAAAAAATGAAGTGCTGATAGAAATATAAAGCTGGGGGAGAAATAGAAATTGTATTCTGAAGCTTTGACTTCTGATATTCTGTATCATTATATACCTACATAGAATCATTTATAGTAATGAAAATTAGTGTAATATTCACTAGAAAATATTATGTATCAGTGCCTTTCTCTCCCCCCAACACATTCACTCTCTCATTCTATATTCATTTGATTTCTATGACAATAATGTTTGTATCTTATACACTTATAGACACCAACCAAATATAATTGCAAGGCTATATGTAATTAAAGATCCACAGGTCCTTTTCCAAATACCTTTAAAATTCGCCACCAAGTTTAATGTTGTTTGAGATTGCTAAGTACATGGGAATCTGCCAGTTGGCCTCTTATTTCTCTTTTTCTGCAATTATTGTGGTGAAAGAGAAAATGCTGGCACTGCTTTGAACCAAAGATGTTATATTACCTGTCAAAATGTCCCTTTGTTGCTTCTACTCTGAAACCATTCCAGGCCTGCTCCTGCATTAGGTACAAATACATTTCTTTGTTTCATTATATTGAGCACATGCTCTGTGTTTGTTTGAGAATAGAATAGAATAGAATAGAATAGAATAGAATAGAATAGAATAGAATAGAATAGAATAGAATAGAATAGAGGTTATTTTTATTGGCCAAGTGTGATTGGACACACAAGGAATTTGTCTTGGTGCATATGCTCTCAGTGTACATAAAAAGAAAAGATAGTTCCTCAAGAATTATATGGTACAACATTTAATGATAGTCATAGGGTACAAATAAGCAATCAGGAAATAATATCAACATAAATTGTACGGATACAAGCAACAAAGTTACAGATATACAGTCATAAATGGAAGGAGATGGGTGGTGAGAACGATGAGAAGATTAATAGTAGTGCAGACTTAGTAAATAGTTTGACAGTGTTGAGGGAATTATTTGTTTAGCAGAGTGATGGCATTCGGGAAAAAATTGTTCTTGTGTCTAGTTGTTCTGGTGTGCAGTGTTCTATAGCGTCGTTTTGAGGGTAGGAGTCGAAACAGTTTATGTCCAGGATGCGAGGGGTCTGTAAATATTTTCACAGCCCTTTTTTTGACTCGTGCAGTATACAGGTCCTCAATGGAAGGCAGGTTGATAGCAATTATTTTTTCTGCAGTTCTAATTATCCTCTGGAGTCTGTGTCTGTCTTGTTGGGTTGCAGAACCAAACCAGACAGTTATAGAGTTGGGTTGCAGAACCAAACCAGGCAGATGACAGACTCAATAATTCCTCTGTAGAATTGTATCAGCAGCTTCTTGGGCAGTTTGAGCTTTCTGACTTGGCACAGAAAGAACATTCTTTGTTGTGCTTTTTTGATGACATTTTTTTTTTGATGATGATGATTTGATGATCAAATCCCTACAATCAGGTATTCCTATGATGTTTGTTTTGGCCTGCCCCAGGCACGCAGGACCAGAATTCACTGTAACCCACTAGTTTTGCTAAATAAAATAGTCATTTATATCCTTCCATAAGTTTGACATTTCTCAATTGTTCCACTGCATACGAGTGTATCAAATCAGATGCTTTCAGTATTTGATCACATCTCCTAGAACTGTGATGGCTAACCTTTTCCGGCCCGAGTGCCCAAAGCACGCACATGCATGCCTGAATTCGCGTAAGCGCCCAAACCCCTCGCATGCGCCCCACCCCCATGCAAGCCCCCCCCCGCTCCCAGCACATGAACGGCAGAGACCTGAAGACCAGCTGGCCAGCGGGAGGCGCATGTGCTGAACTGGGGCGCAACAGAGCTGAACTGGGGCGATGGCTCATGTGCCATCAGAGAGGGCGCTGAGTGCCACCTCTGGCACACATGTCATAGGTTTGCCATCACGGTCCTAGAACCAACGGATCTATAAATTGCAAGGATGATTGTGAAATCTGATCATCAGGCTAGAATTTAATAAATCGAGGAAGGAAAAGCCTCTCTCCTCTCAGCATGTAAAAGTGGTATTTATTTTTAAAAAAATATAAACACAACACCAAAAGCCAAATGTAAACATGGTAACCAACCATGTTTTAGAAATACCCATGGAAATAATTTTATCAATAAATCCCATCCAAGACACAGCTACCTCTGTGGAACTGTGAAGGCATCACTGCTTTTCAAGAACCACACACCAGTTTCCTTGGTCATAGTAACTTCCTTGCAGTTTTATGCAGTCTAGTTGTTTACACAGCTGTTCCAGTTCACCTTCATAGAAGACGTGGTAATAGCGGTGAAAAACAGGGTTGGGTTCTGGAGCATAGGTAGAGCCATCCAGAGGCTGACAAAGCTTGGCATGTCTTGTCTTTTTCTTTATCCCATCTTTCATGTGCCAAGGGACCAAGACATCTTGAGTTTCAAAGGAAGTTCTATTTGTATGAACTGGAAGGCTGGCAGGAACTCCCTGGTTTGGACTGTTGCTCGTCCCATTAGGCTGATTACAGCCCTTGCTAGGCTGTGCCAAACCTTGGCATTCAGTGCTGCCTGTTTTTTTTAGCGTGTCGCTGACAGCTTTGCCAAGCCTTTTATCGCTAGTTTTTTCCCCTTTCAGATACTTTGACTTCTGCTCCTTGTATTCCTGTTCCATGGCCCAAACGTAAACAAGTGCTTTTCCACCAGGTCTCAGCAGCCGAGTTAGTTCACAGAGCACAGCCAGCCTCCTCTCCTAGTCAAGGGGGAGAAACACAGATAGTCACCCTAAAGGTAAAAGGTAACAAACTAAAAACCGTACTCAGAACAAAAACAAAATACAAGACCGAGCTCAGAGAATTAGGAGCTACTATACTATTCTGCAGTCTGTTTACTTCTACTTTTTAAATTATACATCTTTCATGCTTTTCAGCTATTTAATAGTATTATATATCAATGAAATTAATATAATAGAATGAATATACAATTAAATATTTATTTTTTTAAAATTCAGCCAACAATAAAATAATCAAACCTACAGAACAAGGAACAGCTACCAGAACATGTAAACAACTTTATTGAAAGAAAGAACCATTTTAATTACGGGTAGTCCTCAATTTACAACCGGTTGTTGCTTAACGACCAATTGAAGTCATGACAGATTTATGACCACCTTCAGAGTTCCAAGAACTGTCCATGCCCTGAGGTCACATGACTGCATTTTGGGTGCTCAGGAACTGCATCAACAGCGGATTGCAGCATCCTGCAGTCATGAGATTACGGCTGATGATGTTTTTGTTGGAAACAGCATTTACTTTCAGCTTCCATGAAAAAACACCCATTGTGAATAATGATTTACTTAACGACTGTGGTGTTTGCTTTACAGCTGCTGCTGCAAAAAATATATATCATAAAATCAGGAGTGACCACATGGAGATTCACTTAATCACTGGCATGACTTATGACCACAATTGCAAGCTTAATTACAGGACTATCTGTAAAACATAACAAAATAGATCTCTAGTAAGGGAGCCCCCTCTTAAGGGAGCCCCCATGAGCTTCCTTAACTGTACTACCCTGTTCCCCCAAAATAAGACATCCCCTGATACTAAGCCCAATCGGGCTTTTGAGCACATGGCAATAAAGCCAAGCACTTATTTCAGGGTTCAAAAAAATATAAAACAGGGTCTTATTTTTGGGAAAACACGGTAGAAATTTTAGCAGGGCACGTAACTGAATTTCCTTTGAAAACAGGGAAGTGATGGCAGGTCTAATTGGGCAAAAGAGGTCTTCCAACAGCTAAGCTAAAACCTTTTATGTTCTGACACTTACAAAAAAAAATATTGATTGTGATGTAGCTAGCAAAACTGAGAACCACAACATGCAAGTTCTATGATCTGTTCACATCCAGAATAGCAAAAGGCTTATGCCAGGGGTGGGCAACTGTGGCCCTTTTACAACCTGTGGACTTCAACTCCTTTTACAACCTGTGGAGTTGAAGTCCACAGGTTGTAAAAGGGCCACAATTGCCCACCCCCGGTTATGCCATATTGGCTAAAACCTAGCTTATCAAAGTTAACTTGGAGAACGAAGTCTTGCAAAAAAGATTCAGAAGGATCTCACATCACAATACAACACTTGACTCATAATTTGCTTCAATAGACGCATCTCCAGTGAGGTTGAAACAGGATCACTGCTAAGTGGTCCAACGCATGCTTTGTGTACAAAGTTTCAGATTTAGCAGCAGCGTCTTCAGGGAACAAAAACTTAAGATAATATGCCAGAGAACGTGAAGAATCACCGCCAATCAGAAAAGACAGAATTGAGGGATTTTTATTGCAGACTGTCTGTACGGGGATGTTAAGAAACTTAGAAAAATGTTAGTGGTACAGGAATTTCACAGGATGGGAATGTCTTTTCCATTTTCTTTCTTGCCCCCAATCCCACCCCAGAAAATAGTTATAGACAAAAAAAAAAAAAAGCATGGTAGACCTTAATACAATGGCGCCAATAACTGCGATGTAAAAATCAAGGGAGCAATCTGGAAGTTCTTTGGGAGCTTCAAAAATGGAACTGGGAATCACAGCTCCCTGGGATGAAAACAGCAACAACAACAACAGCAACAATAACAACAACCATGAAACAGAAGGATAAACTACTGTATATTACAATGTTTCTACTTTTAGGCAGTTTTTACCTACCACTGTTGAAAAATGATGGATGACCGCAATGGATATGCAAGCATCACAAGAACCACTCCGTATTGGCACAGTGAGTGCATCGCACACAAAAGCCTGAAATTCCTTTTCTCCACAGATGTCTACCAGAGTCTTACTACGGTCACAGCCCAACTGTTAAAATTAAAAAAAAAAAGAAAGAAAGTGTGAGAAGGCTGTACACAAACTAGGAATGAATATTAAAATTCTGTAGCTTTTCAGAAATAAGCAATAGTCAAGAGAGCCCCCGTTTTCTAGATCCAATATTGAAATGTGGTTAACTTTTATCTCTTTAGGGAAGAACCAAAATAATGATCTCAGTGCTGGATTAACAGCGGGCACACATGCTTCTTCAGTGAAAGGAACAGTAACAGCTGGCTGCCCAGATGTGAAGGACTGTAAACTCCAAATTACACCTGCTGGTATCAAAGCTCTTAAGTTTCTCTCTTTTGTGCTGTTGTTTTAACACAATCCACCACACTGATTGCCTTGATTTATAAGCCTGCTTTTACACCACCACCCCCCATCAAGATTTATGAGATAATTCAATATTAGCTGCATTTTATAGACGGTGAGTTTACCAACTCTGTGTAAATGGTATCAAAAACAAACTATTGTTTGAATCCCCAGTACCATTAAGAAACCAGTTCTCTTTCCCGTTCTGGCCATCATCGATCTGGAATCCAATTGACATGACTAAAAGTAGGATTTACATTTTAATTCCATTTTCCATTATCATCTGATAGTTACAGAAGCAACAGGAAATGGATCCTAACTGATCCTGTGGTCCATGTTTCCCCCAGGGAAAGGGAATATTTTCTCACCTCTTCCACCAATTGCATTCCTGCTAGAGTAAAGGTAAAGGTTCTCCTCGCACATATGTGCTAGTCATTCCTGACTCTAGGGGGCAGTGCTCATCTCCGTTTCAAAGCCGAAGAGCCAGCACTGTCCGAAGACATCTCCGTGGTCATGTGGCCGGCATGACTAAACACCAAAGGTGCACATAACGCTGTTACCTTCCCACTAAAGGTGGTCCCTATTTTTCTACTTGCATTTTTTACGTGCTTTCGAACTGATAGGTTGGCAGAAGCTGGGACAAGGAACGGGAGCTCACCCTCTTACGCGGCACTAGGGATTCGAACCACTGAATCGCTGAACTTTCGATCGATAAGCTCAACATCTTAGCCACTGAGCCATCACATCCCTATTCCTGCTATATGTTCTGTCAATTTGCCAATTGTTTTTTAAAAGGGGGGGGGAAGAGGAAGGATAGCAAAGAGAGCAAACATGGCTACCTATGCCCTTTTTTTTAAAAAAAATTCTTTTTCTCCAGCTAGACAATTCACTCAGGAATGCTTGCAGCAATATTAGCTCTGACCTTGGTTTTTTTTTTTTTTTTTTTTTTAAATTGATTTATATGCCGCCCTTCTCCGGAGACTCAGGGCGGCTTACAGTGCGTTAAGCAATAGCCTTCATACTTTTGTATATTTATACAAAGTCAGCTTATTGCCCCCACAAACTGGGTCCTCAAACTGGTTTATTTGAAATACATTCTGCTGCCCCACTTCTCTTCTTTAAGACACTCAAAGTAGCTTGGAATAAAATCAATACACATACAGTTATTCATTCAGCATAGGACATCAAAATTACAATGAATACAAGGCATAGTAGGCTAGGCTGAGCACAGTTTCACCCACCGTCTAGTCAATTTTCACTAGAGATGGCCTTAACAACACATCTTTCACGAGAACTGTACTCTGAAAACGGATAAAGGATTTTAACTGGATCGCTTGCGCAGAGTATATTTGATGACATCCGGGTGGGTGGGCGGAGCTTCCCGCCGCTATAGCAACCCACCACTGAACTGGAGCCACTTAGCTGCTCTTACTGCCTACCTTCCAATTTTACTTTTGACAATTTGACTATTTTATAACTAAAAATATAATTAGCAACCAGCCAGGTTAATAGGAGATAACTTCAGATTGAGTCTATTTGTCACTGGTAATGTATCTCTATAAAGCTATCCTCTTTGCTTCAGGCTGACCTGAACCACAAGTTCCTTCCGACTATCTTCATTGATAGGACAGTATTCAAGCTTATGAGGAATATAAACCACGGTTCTAAAAACTACTCAGAGCAATTTTTGGCAGTGATTGTAAATACTGAAGAACTCCTACCCCTAATAAACTTGTTCTTATTCAAGTAGATTTATCTAAATTTTGGAACAAGCTAGTCTCAACAGGCAGAACAGCCCATCTATAGCAGGGATCTCCAACCTTGGCAATTTTAAGACTTGTGGACTTCAACTCCCAAAATTCCTCAGCCAGCTTTGCTGGCTGAGGAATTCTGGGAGTTGCAGTCTACAAGTCTTAATGTTACCAAGGTTGGAGACCTCTGACCTATAGAATTCACAGAGATATATTTGCTTTTGGTCTGAAATCCAAGTTGTTGGTTCTTTTTTAAATAATCTATGGCATGAAAAGGGCATTTATACTGTTGCTGTTAGACAGCTATATAGTTGTATTCCTCCCTTTTTTTCCAATCAGTAAGAAGTTCAGAGGCGGTCTGAATGAGGTTTATTAATTTACTAGCAACTGTATGTTTCCTATCGTAGCCCAGTTCAAACAGCATGGAAACACACAGCAGGAGAGATCACTTTAATTTTCAATCTCAAGAAAAGGAGCACTGTAGCACTCTCATCTGACCTTCAGATCGCATCAACCTGGAATGGCTTTGTGGATAGCTTTGGAAGGCCAGCAGGATTGTAGCTCAAACACTTCTAGTGTATTATTGCTATCAACTTGAGAGCAGCAGCTATAGAACGAAGGAGATTTGAAAAGGAAGCACCGGACTGAATCCCAAGTAGTTTTTTCCATTGGTGCAAGAAACAAGCAAGCTTGGTAATTCTGCCCCACATGTCAAGGCTCCAAGAAACACCCCCAACAAAAGAAGACTCCAAGGCTTGAATTCCCTCAAAGTTCCATTTTATTGAAGATGTCATATTGGCACATCTGGGGAAACCTGAATCTGAAAACTTCCACGTTTTCCCCACCCAAAAGAAAGTTCAAGTCCCTGCCCAGCACCCACATGTCCATCACATGATCCAATCAGACACCATCCAAAACTGAAGAAACCTCCCAGTCCCCTCATGGCAGCTGCAAGGCACCGTGGCCTTGACTCTCTGAGAAAAGAATGTTATTTTGACTATATATCACCCATGCTCTATACCCATGATGGCGAAGCTATGGCACGCGTGCCACAGGTGGCACGCGGAGCCATATCGGTGGGCACGCAAGCACTGCCCTAGCTTAGCCGGCCAACTGATTTTTGAGCCTTCAGGGCCCACCGGAAGTCAGGAAACAGGCCCATTTCCTGCCTCCAGAGGGCCTCGAGGGGGGGAGAGGCTGTTTTTGCCCTCCCCAGACTCTAAGAAAGTTTCTGGAGCTGGGGAGGGCGAAAACGGGCCTACCTTGCCACTCCGTGCCAAAAGCGGTGGAAGCGTGGTGGGGTCGCATGCACGGGGGGCAGGGGGCATTGAATTATGGATATGAGCACACATGTGCATGACCCTCCCGTGTCCCCCCCCCTTTTGGCATGCGATGGCAAAAAGATTAGCCATCACTGCTCTATACAATCCCCCCTCCCATTTTCCCACAGTAGAAAAATGTGGCAGGCCTGAAGGCCCAATTGTAAAAGATGGCTTCCAAGTCTGACACCATACTTGGAGCCTAAAATCTAGTATGGACCTCAGGGATACCTTCTGCAATGCTTGCTGGGCCCCATGTCCTACCTGGTTTTATTACTTTTTAGATTCTTTTTCAAAAAAAAACCAGAAAGCTAACACTGAATTGCAAAGCAAACTGTCAGGCTCAAGCATTGCCTTTATTTCAAATAATGTCACTTCTACATGGACCCATAAAAGCTGGAAAGGGAGACTGGAAATTTTACTATTTTGCCTTTGGATAAATAGGTGACTAAGTACATCCCCTATGGCAGCCTTTTGTGAGAATGCATATAACACACTCTCAAAATTTAGGAACATGCACTAAACCTCCATAAGTTGTGGCTCCTGATTTATACTCTCCTGCAATATATTACACTATTTCCAAAAATCCCACAATGCTTTCTGAACATAAAGGTAATATATAAAATACCCACACACACATACACATCTTCCAATGATGTTTCAGAGGTTGCCAATTTAAGGTGACCAAGTAAAGCCCCACTTTATGAGTGAAATAAACCTATTAATTTTTTATTCATAGATTATATAAACTTATGGTTATTCATAATCATCATGGCAATCCAGGAATCAGTCTGTTTACAGGCAAGATATTATATTTGCAAAGAGGAAATAAATTATATATCAAAAATTTATTACAGTAAAAAACCAACAACACAGGGAATCATGTAAATCTGTACCACAGATTTCTTGCTATGAATATAAACGTTGATCTACAAGACTAATTTTAGTTGATGGATTAGCTGCTAGAAGACAATAAAAACAGAATGCAAAAGCTGTAAACTAGGTTTCATTCATGCACTTGCATATATCAGATGAAAACAATGCCATGTAAAGTCAACAGATGGGGCATACAAAAACCAATAAATAGTTTCCTTTGGTAACTCTAACAATTTACTCATTTGTTTTAACATAAATAGAATTTTTAATAACAGGTTATTTATTTTAGTGTTTCCAGCCAAGAGAGATTAAATTCTCAATTTAGTCAGCTTTAACTGCCAGTTACAAAGTGGTTTATTGACAGAATATATGCCAGATCTAATTTTCAAAGCAGATTTGCTCCATTTCATTAAAGGGAAAGAGCTGTAAGAAAAAAAAAAACAATATTCCACATTTCAGTTTTGTTGGATTAGGGTAAATGTAAAGTGCACGCCAGTTGTACATAATATGTACGGCATTTCAAAGATTTGCCGTAACTGGGAAATCTTTATTGCTGATGGTGCCAATTTCATTACTGGGTATGATCATAAAGACTTTGATTTTAATTAAGAACATTTACAGCACCAGAGCCCACCATCTGCAGAACAGATTGCACTCCAAACAAACAAATTGGTCCATTCTGGTGTTTACAAAGTCTAAAAGTATTTTTCATGACTCGCTGAAAAAGAGAATG